AATAATTATTTAAGAAAATTTCTATAAATAAATAATTTACGTAAAGTCTATTTACAAAAATGCAAGTTTATTACATTTTACTAATCCATCGCATAGCTTTTATGTGCCAACATCTTTTAATTAGCATTTACTATCATAAAAAATTCGTTATTAAAATGTTATAATTATATGAATGTCAAAATAAAAGATTTTTACCTAAAGTTTAAATTCAAGTTTATTAAATTTTCGCATCTTGATAATCCAATTCCTAATCGCGAATTAGCACCTATGAAGTTAGTCCTAAATGTTGAAGGAATAATATGTACATACATTTTAATGATTATATTATAAAAGAATAAATTTATTGCTTATTTAATGTACAAAAAAAAGCAATCAAATCCTACCTTAAGTCTAATTGGAGTATTTAATGTTTAGAAAAGTAAGAGCAATGGAACTATTAATTATTTAAAATGTATTAATATTATGAATATATCATTTTAAAATTAATTACATTTTTTATTTTTGTAAACTTTTTCTATTTTAATTAAGACATTTTTTTTTGTGTTTATTTTAAAATCTAAATTTTTTGTTCTAAATTTAATTAAAATCTTGAATAATCATATGTTTAAAATAAGGATAAATTTTATGCCTAATATTAGTTTTTAGACTTTATTAAATTGTATTCCTAAGTTATGAAGAATATTAAAAAAAGTCATATTATTTATTATCTTCAATAGATAATAAATTCGAATTAACCAGCATTTAAATCTGAAAGATTTTTGATGATTATTACACATAATTAAATAAATCTCTTTTATTCCTAGGTTAATCTCCCCTCCCAAACATTAATATTAATATAGCCAAATGCCTTTCTAATATATAATGAAGTGGAATCACTACTTTTTAGAATGTCCTTTATGTTTAAGTAATTTTTTTCTTCGACCATATCTGATAAATTCTGATTTAAAAAAGAAAAAAAAAATATTTAAACTGTCATTTAGTCATTCATTTATATATTAATATTTTTACAAACTCTGCAGATTACTTACATAAATAAATATATCCAATCAGCGAAATTTTAAAACTAAGAATAGCTTTATCTGTATTTTAGTATAAATTATCTTATTACAAAATATTAAAAAATAAAATATATTATTATTTATTAGTCAAATATTTAATATTAATTCATCCTTTTTTATCACTTGTCTATCACCAGAAATATATTTGAAAAACAATTAATCTTTTTGATTTAAGATACTTGCTTATTACTTTCGATTCATTGATTTAGTCAGAACTTTTAAATTAAATTAAAATAAAATAATAAAAAAAATAAATAAATAAATAAAATAAATTTTTTTACTATTAATAAATAATAAAAAATTAGCAAAATAAAAAAGAAAAAGATAAATAAATCAAATAAAAAGCTAATAAATAAATAAATTAAAAGAGCTATATTTTTTAAAATATCACAATCCAAAACAAATAAACTAAATTTACTCAAGTTCAACTGTTAAATTTGAGAGATTTGGGCAATTTTATAAAGAAGAACCTAAGCCTTATGCACCCATTGCACCAATTTAATTTTAACTTTTTATATATTAAAGAAAAATATAATTAATAAGTTATTTACAAGGAAAAAATAAAAAATTAATTAATTAATAATAAAAGCAAATATTTAAAATAAAAAAATGAGTTAAATTAAGAAAGATAGAAGAAAAATAAATGCTAGTATAATAAAAAATAAAAAGAAAACTAAATCGGTTTAAAAGCTAATAAACAAATTAAAAGAGCTAAATATTTTTAAATTAAAGTTTATAAGTAAAAATAACACACTCCAAATCAAATAAACTGTTTTTACTTGAGATAAAGTGACAAATTTGAGAGATTGGAGCAATTTGCTAAACCAAAACCTAAACCTGATGCACCCTAATCACCAATTTTATTCCAACTTTTGAAATATTTAAGAAAAAATAGGTATTAATTAGGT